GGGAGGTGGGGAGGTGGAGAGGGAGGAGGAGAGATGAAGTGTGTTTATGAGATAGCGTACAATCTGGAATCACAGTCTTGAGATTTAACGGAGAGAAAAGTAGTTAATTTTAATTGCTATGTGGTCTTGTTCATTCTCGCATCCTCAATACGCATTTACCTATCTAATTTTTAATTTAGTGTTGACTACACTTTAGTAGAGTTATTGAGGATTTCCGTGAACTTTCTTTGATACATCTGGGAAGATATGTTTGGTCTTAAAATCCAATTCTTCTCATGGATTATACTTTTTTGGACTGCCGAGAAAGCATGAGCCTTTTCTGACTTTTATTATTATATTATGGCCTTCCGCTTCCGAAAATACACTCAAGTGTTAGAACATTTTCTTTGGCGGCATTGCTTAAAGCTTTTACTGTTTTATAAATTACACAACCTTAAGATAACATCTTAGAGGAGAGAAAACTAGGAGAAATTTGTTTTGCACACTCCTTGCACCCCAATTAAGATGTCATCTGGTCACTAGTTCACAGGGTAACTTTCCCAGTCTTTCCAATAGCATGATGTATAGACGTACTTATTATCTTTCACCCCAGTTACAAGTCCCAACATTCACAACGCTTTTAACAGCAATCCCACTTCCTCCCAAACGGGCATCCACTCCGTCCAGACGACTGGATTTCAAGTGTCCAGACATAGAGCTGCTGCTGTATAAGTTTACATATGTGGAAGAGGGAATGGAGGAAATCTCCACCCGATCTGCCGTTCTCATTACACCTCATTGGCGTCTTCTTACACGCGTGAACACGTACGCACACGATGGTAGGAGGCAGACACTGATGAAGATTAATGTCGCCTTTGCACTGCAGAAGTGAGTAGCTTCAGCCCAACATGGCGCCACTCCAGTGAATGAGTGAGTGAGAGGCAGTCGAATGTCGTTTTACGGTGGATCGCTCAATGGCGATCTCCCAAATAACTACCATCTGTAGCGTGGTATTGTGTAGAGGGGCAAAAAACAAAAACTACACTGTTGCAGGAAGTGGACGTGGACAGAACATAATTCTAATCCAATTTTGTAAAAAGGGAATGCTTCAGAAACACCGAAGAAATCCCCTAAATAAAGCCAGTTTAGTTTTTTTCTGCCAGCTGAAAATCTACCTTTGCTTTTCCATGACTGCCACTACGCCATGCAAATAGCAGCATTTGGTACCCATCTCACCAGTGATCAAAGAGACCTGTGATCACATACATACTGAACGCGTAGACGCTGCCAAGACCATGGAGACCCAAGTTGACGAGGTCAGACAAGGCGTAAACTTTCACTTCGGTTGTGCATGACCACAGTGCTATGATGAACACACTTCTTCCCGATTGGTTGGCCGTGCCAGGATATGGCAGCGGCCCTTTTCCAGGTGTGGGTGAGCGTGGGTAAATGGATGGATAAAAGGTGTTCCAGAGGTAATGCAATTCGTAATTCTGAGCTCTGTCTTAGCGCCTTAGGACCATGGTAAGACCTATTAACAGGAACAAATGGCGTCTCACTAGCGCACAGATGCAGACGAAGGATTTTTGTAGAGTTAAATATATTTTTTGAGCTATTTTAGATCTACCTCAGTGTTTCAATGTCTGGATGAGTGCCTCTGTTGTTTTTGGGAGCCGAGAGACAAGCCTAAACAAGTGTGGCTGGTGGCCTGTCCTAATGTCAATTAATTTAGTACTCGCGGAATCCGTTTGACTTCCAATGTCCAACGAAATACTGTAACACTGCCAAATATGCCCAAGTATTCACTCTATCCCTCTTTATCTCACCATCTTGACTAGAGCTAGCCACATTTATTGTGAAGTACTTAGCGGCGGTGAAGTGCAAAATGGAAAGAGGAAATTTCCACGCTGAGCTAATTTGGAGCACTGCCGCCAGCCCTCACTGCGGCTGAAGATGAAAGGAGAGGTGGTGAGAGGTGATTACTTCAAAGAGTGGGAATTGGAAAAGGTTCAGGTTGGCTTAGCAATTTGGTGATGCTTCATGTGGTTCCTGCAATTACGGTGCCACAAGGTATTTCTTAATGTTAATGCAGCGTTCCATGCCTTTATTCAAGCATTCAAAACCTTTAAAAAATGGAAATAATCCTTTTTTTGAATAGAAAAGTTTGTTGACTATTCTTGGTGCAACAGATGTTTGTTTGAATTTACATTTTAGGCAAAAGGTGGGTAGTAAAATAAGATCATCCTGACAGTTTGATGCCATTGCCCCTGGGGAGGTGAAGTTCCCTGTATCCATTTTTTATCGCTACCCAATAAAATATGTCCTTGTCCAATTCGTCTGCTCCTTCCAAGGGTGTAAAGGCTGATGGAGAAGAGAGAAACACTGAACCTATTACGCTTAAAATGTAGAAAATTTCCATAAAACTCCCCATAAGCCCACCACTTTGCTATGCCCTTTTGGGTGTGGAATGACAAGTGTATTGTTAAAGCCTGTAAATGACCTGAAGCCTACTGCAAAATGTAACCAAATTTTTGTATAAAGTGGAGCATTTTACCTTGATTTAACCTTAGAATGCAACCCAGAGGTCGTGCCTAATCCCGAACGCAAATGGAATCCCCGGTATTTAGCGATATGCATGCTTAAGATTAAAGCAGTACTTGATTAAAATTCTAAGTTAGGTGATTTTTTTGTTATAATGAGGTGATTCACTGTAACACCTAACAGGATTCTGTCAAACTAGTGTAATACTTTGATCATTTGTTCAACTCATCGTTTTGGTTTTGCGAGCACTTAAAGTCTCCGTGACTGTACTTGTCTGGGCAGAATGGCCTCGGGTCTGCACCAGTACTCCTTCAGCTCTTTTCTACGTTGGCAATACATATTTTGCCCAAGTGTTGTCTTCATTCGTCTTTATGGAAGTCTCGGGGAGCTGCACTAGCTCTTTACCTTTAAGTACTTTACCATCTCCGGGATCCGACTAGCGTCACAAGCCATAGTTCAAGGAGAAAAAGTGAAAGGTAGTTTTTCTCGAGGGCGGTTGCCATGATAATTGTCGCACATGTGCAGCCCATGGGAGCAGTTTAATAATCCCAGTTTCGAGTAAACTTTGGCTCGCACCACGCCTGGCTGGAGTGTCCGGGGGGGGGGGGCGCTTGTTTGTGTGCGACTGTCTATTACGCACGGCTGGAATGATGCCCATTCGGGCGGATGTTTATGCCTCCGTTGATTAGACGGCAGCCTGGAGGGTGGAGTAGGGAGGAAGAAGAGGGGGAAGGATACAGAGTAGGCGTATGTCATCAATTGGTCGCTTAGTCCAAGTCCAAGTGAAGCTGTGAAAAGTGGCGGAATGCCGACGCTTGAAAAGTGTGGAACCAAGTCTACTATTCGAGTGGGCGGAAGAACTAGCTACTATCACACACGATCAAGTAAACTCTGCCCAGACGTCAGCACTTAAGGCATGACATTGTGGAAGTTGTGCACAAAAGTTAAAGGTTCAAATGAATAAGTGTTTTGCAATGCGAGTCCTTTCCCATAGCAAAGTACTTAATTATAGACAGAAACGAGAAGTTTAGATACAGGTATCGTGAAAGCAGTCTGGAAATCTGGAAGTATAATTCCAAAAATTTTATGGGCAGCATTTGGGTTTTGTGACATCTAATCTGTGTAAAAGATTAGAGTTTGCAAGATAGGATTAAGGCTAGTTGGAGTATAAGGATAGCCTTGATGACACTCTTTAGAGATTGGATCTTTAGCGTACCTGGATATCTAGCTAGCCAACATCTTCAGCGTTCGGCCATGTCTGCCTAGTACGGGTGTGCTTTTTAACGACTGGTGGTAGTAGAAAGTAAACCGGATCCAATAGGACAAATATCTTGGTTCCTTTGGCTTGCTGTTGAGCCTAAACTCCCC